ACTGAGGGACAGTTAGATCCACTATCTTTGTTAGGAAGATGTTGCATGTGGTTCATTTGTAACTGGGTTATCATTGCATTTGAACGGCTCGAGGACACAAGTACATGTACAGTGTTGTCAATACTGCTTTGGAAAATAAATATTTAACAAGAGTTACTCATAATTATTTGTCAAGCCATGCCCGCTTTGACTTAAAAGGCACATGTAATGGAAACTTAACATAAGGTAAAAATAACCAGGTCCAAAATAAAAATTTGTCCACAAACAATGTAAAACAAATTTCAAGTCAATTTGACACTCGGAAAAGATATTTTTATCCCATAAAAAGGAAAATAATTCCAAACTTTGACATTACATGGTGTAAGGTAGAATCTAAAAGAATGTCCATGCAAAGTTTCAGTGTCCTAGTGCTGCTGAGTTAAAAACAAACATCAACACCGTCGGAAAAGCAACGCCTATGTTTCGCTTTTGCTCCTTCATTGCAGCGAAACAATAATCACAGCAAGTTGAACATTCAATCCTTCAGTATTGTTTCCATTACGTAGGTTTTATTTTAAAATAAAACAACGTCCTACCATTACTTTCATTAAAACACAAATAAGAAACAACAAGAGAATAAGTAGGAATGGTGTTTAATGAAAATAACTGCAATTCAACAATTCACAGACGTTAAGAATGATATCTACCAAAACTGAAACTAACTAAAAAAATGTGTCAAATTTACTGATTGGTAGACACCATGCATTCTTTCTCAGCATATACATTCTGACTCTGATAGTTACTTTGCCTTTCTACATTAGGTTCCTAAAACCCATACAATTTGCATATCATCGGTGGGCGTATATATCTTTACATGCATTTTATACGAGTCTAAAACATTGTCAAATCGAAATTTTACTGTATCTGTAATACCAGTATACAATCTTTTCCCACTGATACTATTTTATTTATTGACTTTCAAAGGCCAGATTTTCACACAGTATGTACTTGATAATCACCTTTTGCTAGTAATGTTGTTGTATTAAACAATTTTTTACTGTTAAAAAAAATGTCTACTCAAGCTTTGTAAAACCTTTTTACAAGGTTTTGGATGCCCACTAATGTTATGCTACATGTCATATTCAAACTCAATTTTTCTGAATATTTCTCAGACAATGCTGAATAAAGTAATGCAAATTAGTGCAGCACATACCACAGAGTTATTTGAAACAGCAATCATCAGCACACTAATAGAAGAACAATTGTGCCAAGTGCAGCAAAGAGAATTGTCTCCCCTTTTGTTATGCAGTAATAGTGGGCAAGTCAGCATTTCTTATGCTTGTTTAAATAAAAGAACACAAACAGTTTAATTTACTGCCACTTTAACATGAAAATCTTGAACTATAAACCGACTACATGTATTACAATTTCAGACACAAAATACCACATATTTTTAAATCGCAATTAAATCTTCTTAAAAAAATATCACAAACAAACTTAAACATTACCCATAGGCCTAATAGAGGCTATTTCAGGTTCTGGACCATAATTTGCAGGCATGTGAATCTCTCACATTCAACTTCTGTTAAGGTGAAATAACAATAATAACTTTTCAAATTCAAGATATCTTAATTCAATGGTTTTGTTTTGCTTGAAGTTATATGATTCATATACTGCAACATTCTGAGGAGAAAGCATACAAGGGTATTTTTTTGTTTGGGTTATTTCAGGGCTGAGATTCCTAATCGAGACCAGAAAGTTATACATCAGTGGTCAACCGGTCAAGGAATACAACTTTACCTTGTGTTTTGACCAATGACCTTGAAACCAAAACGTTAAAAATATCAATTTCAAACAACTACGCACATATTCAAAAACAGAACACGATCATTTTCAAAAAGTGCAGTATTCTTAAGATTATTAAAATCAAATTGTCAGCTTGTATTCAAGCTCTGTCTTCTCTCAACTGCATTAAACTTTCTTTTTTTTGCATATAGAATAAACCCTCCATTTTTCTGAACGTCCTTCACACATTGCTAAATAAAAGTGATGCAATATTGGTGATACACATACCACAGCGCTATTTGAGACCACAATTCATGAGAAGGGACATTTACAAGTACCAAATTAGGTAAATCGATTTATCTCTCCTCTTCTCATCACGCAGTAGTAGTAGGCAAGTGAGTAAAATTTGAATAGGCCAAATACATAAATCTCCTATTTCAATGGCAAAGAAATAATACAATTATGTTTCTTAGCTAACATTTTATACTTTCTTAAAAACAATAGTAACACAAAAAAATGTAGAAGCTATTTCAGGTTCTGGACCATAATTTGCAGGCATGATACAGAATCTGAAGCATGTAGTGATGTGTTGTAACTATGATGCAAACAAATTTGGTGAACCTTACACACTTTGATGTTGCCGTCCACAGAGAAGTGATTTGCATCTCTGATATTCTGAAAGTATGTTTTCAAACTCAGACAATTTTAATCTAACAGGCTAATATGTCAAAGAGAAATGCAAAAATTCAATACAAAAATGGAAACAAAGTATAAATCTCAATGGTTACTATTTCAATGACAAGAGATCCCAGAGGGATTTTGGTGCCCACCATTGAAAGAAAAAATAGACAGTGCACATCACATTTAGGGCCCTAGGGGAGCCTACATGTGAAATTTGAGACAGATGCCTTCTGAGAAACTGCGGTAACAAAACTTTAAGGCAAAAATCCAAGATGGCTGCCAGGCATCCATTTTGTTTTTGGATCAGTCAAAAAAATAGATAGTGCACATCTAAGGCCAAAGGGGAACCTCCATGTCAAATTTCTTTTTCTTTCTCAGAAATAGCAGTAACAAACTTTTAATGTCAAACTCCAAGATGGCCGCCAAGCAGCCATATTTGATTTTCGATCCATCTGAAAATGTGGTATGCACAACAAGACCTCAAGGGGAACCTCCAATTCATGGCTATTTTGTTTTCTGATCATTCTGAAAATATAGTATGCACAACTAGACCCCAAGAGGAACCTGCCTATGAAATTTCATGAAGATCCATTGAGCACTTTCATAGATTAAGCGATGACAAACTTCCAATGTCAAAATACAAGATGGCTGCCTGTTGGCCACTTTATTTTCCGATCACTCTGATATTTCCACTAAAACATTGAACAATATGTAGACTGAAATGTCACATTTTGTCATTCTACAAGTATCAATATCTGGGAAAACTCCTTATGGTTCCTTACAACTACCAATAATGAATTAACAACTGATGCCCAGTAACCAATAATAACAATGGCTATCATATGATTATAAACAGATTGGTTTCTCGGTCGGTTAATATACTGCAATATTGACCAGCAAGGAACAAATGTTGTCCGAGGTGAAGGCAGAGTTCAATATGGTTTCCAGCTGGTCAATCTCATAGCATCTCATAATTATATTATCATATATAAGTAAAGATTAATGAGGACAAACTATATTTCCAGCAAATCAGTAAACATCAGAAAACTGGTTAATGTCAACTAGTTCATGACAGCCCCCAAAACAAGAGTTGTCGAAGTATAACACAGCTTACCTATCGCTCAAAACAGGTGAATCATTAAAAATCAAAACCCATAGGAAGCCTCTAAAGCGGCCAAAGTTAAGTCAAAAGCTGGTAAATGTTTTCATTATTCTACAATTTAAGTACACAAAATCAATATTTCAGCTGAAATGGATATGAATTTAAAATATCATTATTCTTAAGCAACAGAAGCCTCTAAAACAGCTTACCCTAAGACTTTAATCCAGGAATTTCAGTGAAAACCTAAGTCCAAAATAGGTGAAAAATTAAAAGGAATGATGTAATTCTATAACACAAGCATAAAAAACCCAACAATTAATGTATGTAACCCCAAATGAAGCTTCATGCAAAAACTTTGCCTACTAACCCCATGATAAGCTCATAAAACAGCTGAACCAAAAACCTTAACTTGGATGGAACCCCAAAGCCAACACCAACAGTACTCTTAGTCTCGAGCTTAAAATGATTCTAGAAGATAATATCCATTTTTTGTTGTAAGCATTGTTGATATCAACCAGTTTTCTGCTATTAACTGGTCTGACATTATCATAATTCAACTTTTGACATATAAAGAGATGCTCATAACAAGAGGCCAAAGGTGCCTTAACGGTCACCTGAGTAAGTATTTGTAGACCCTGCGTTAGGACTCCAAATATCAAATACGAAGTCAATCTGTCACTGTTGGCTCATGAGAATATTATAAAGGAGTCTTCAAATTTTATCCATTTTTGCCCCCTCCTTGGATCCCTATGAGGGCCACATTTGTTTTTGTTTGCAAACTTGAAGTGGCTTCCAATAGGGATGCATTGTATTTTTGGCAGTTATTAGGGACAATCATTTTCACCATTGTAAGCCCCATTGACTTTCTAAATGAATATAGCATCCAGGAAGGTGCATATACTAGTACTACACATTGCAGTAACATGTTGAGAGAAAACAAAATGCTGCTACAGAAACAACTTTATGAACATATATCAGTATTGTACAACATCTCTGAAATACCTTTTTGAAAACCACTGCAATGTCAGTGACAAAGTATCTTGAGCTAGTTTCACTGAATATAGCCAGTAAATATCACAATTAAACAAATAGTAATCAATATACAGAAATAAGGGAAGTGCTTTTCCAGAAAAAATGATTCTTTCAAATTTTCCTGTTAAGTTGTCTTTTGATAATATCCTGAAACCACTTCTTTTCATCATTAACATGTCATGTACAAACTATAATTGCACTAGACACAAAAAGTTATTTGGTACAAGTTTATTTAGCATTTGTTCCATGAAAATTCAAAACCTTGTGACTGATTGAAAACCAAGGTCAGATTCAGCAACTAAAGCACAATATTCATACCTTTCATCATTTTTGTATACACAATGAAAGTTTGACACGGATGTCTCTTAAACTTTATTTATAACTGATTGACACTGTCTATTTCAAATATCTTTATGAACTGTCATTTCTTTTTAAGCAGACTGGCTGTTTTTCTTTTTTCTCCAACAATCCAGTTATGGACTGTGTTTTTCACCTTTTTCCAAGAAAGATCTTTCAGACACAGATGTTTTGAGATGGCCTTTTCACATTCAAACCTTTTCAGTTCTCTTCTGAATGTTATGTTTGATTGGAAATTCTTACGTAAGGTGGTTGTCTGTTCCTCTGTCAGGCGTTGAATTTTTCCTGTAATCAAAGTAGAAATATTTCTTTTTACCAACAAAACGAAAATTAATATTTTAAAACTGTTCCTTGACAAATATAGAAACTGCCGTGCAAAAACCAAAACCAACTACATTTATGAATGTAATTATTGCTCTCACAGGTCGGTAAATCATGGACAGACTGAAACAAAAGACCATAACTATTTTATTATATGGGCCATGACTTTATAAACCACTGCATTTTACATGTACTTTTGAACAAGAGACCCATGGGGCCTCAACGTTCACCTGAGGAAAATAGCATCATTTTGTGTTACTTTTACAAACTGTGGTCTTGAAAATTTCAACAATTAACTTTATTTAAATCGTGATAACTTTTGAACTTGTATACATTTTTAATGTGAAATATTCAATATTTGAATAACCTTTGACCATGAGCCCTTCAAACCAAATTTCTCAAATTGATCGTAATAGCATTGTAAACCTACAGTTTTAAATAAATGTGTATAAAACAAAAAGTAGGCAGATATGAAGAAAATAGTGAGTTTTGGGGAAAATTGTCCATTTCAGAGTTCAAATGTACCTATGACTTTGATCCTGTGACCTTAAAAATTTGCAAATAAAGTTGTTGTAATGGTCCCTACAACTTTAAAATGCATATGGCTATAAAAGATGTTGATTCAGATTGTTTTGGTCATAATGCACTATTTAAGTATTTCTCAGTGTCAATGACATTTGACCCCATGAACTTGAAAATTGGCAAAAATTATCTTCACATCTTTTCCTACAATGTTTAAATGCATACGCTTATACAAAATATTTATGGTTTCAGAGACCATTGATTTTTTACTTTGTTTCTAAAAATAGATTTTCAAAATGGCTGCTTACGGCAAAATTGAAAGCGTAACAGCTATGAAAAATAACAACACTTTGATCCCATGAGTTAATGAACAATTCTACAAAATTGCAAAGAAATCCATTCCATCCTGCAGAACTCGAGTTTAAGTTTGAAATAGGTTTTCCAAGATGGCCACCATGGCAGCAATGTTGATTTTTCAATCGACCCAAAAAAAAATAACAAAACTTATTCAGGACCAGATACTGAACATTCCTGTGAAATTGCATTAAAATCCCTTCAGCAGTTTTTGAGTTTAAGTTCAAAATGTAAAAGGTTACGGACGACGAACAATGATGTCTTAAGTTTGTCCATCCATTAATAGAAAAAAAAGAAAGAAAACAAAATGAGGGCGGATTTTTCCTGATTACCAGTAGTAATACACCAGTTGGTATAACAGTGTCATAACAAATAAATCACAATCTGCTTTCTCTCCTGCAACATGATCACAATTTTGCAATTGATCTAACTGCTGAGCATTATGATGTCTTTTAAACTCAATTACATGAATAATTAATAATATCAACATCATTCTTGTTATGCCAGTACAGTTACAGGTCACACATTTATATCTATCCAAAACTATATCTATGAAGTGGGAGCTTTAAAGCCCCAATATACGTAACATGCACCAAAAATTTAGTGTAAAATCACACATAATTATTGAGATATTCTATAAGATGTAGTTAGAATTAAGTTATTCAAACAATAGTTACCATGACTTTGTGCATAAAGTATTGATATATGAGCAGTTGAAACTCGCTATTTGTAAACACACACCCATTTTAAACACGCCGCCATCGAAATTACGATTGTTGCCGAACAACGTCGGAAAGTTCATGACCTGATCTCACGAGAGTTGAGGTTTCTACTTATAGAGGAAGCACATGCAGATATGTCTACGGTAAGATTTGTTTACAAACATTGTTTGCGAAGTCTTGTCGTAGACTTGAGGTATTCCTGTGATAAACATTCAGTTCTTAGGAAATTATTAGAAGGAATAATTAGTTTAGAAACGATACGACGCACAATTGTAACGTAAGAATTCAGAATTGGCCTGATGTATGATTGGAAAAAAAGGAAGCGACTGGTGGACGTCTGTACTGTGTCTGCCATGTTTACACACGCAGAATATGTGCATGCGCAATGTCATCGCTACGAGCGGTAATATATGAATTATTGTGGGTCCCACATTGTTTATTTTCCGATTTTTTCAATTTTTATTTAAACTGAAAACAGTCAGTCTTATTTTCTTTAATTAAAGGAGAGTATTTGTTTTGTTACATATATTATGGGGAAAATAAGATAAAGTTTGTTTTGTTATAGTGATTTTTACATATATTGGGGCTTTAAATAATTACACACAACATTTTTCTTTCAGTATTTCAATGTGCATGTTATAATGTATAATTAATATTCTTACTGTCAGCGGGCGTGTTCTCCCTTTTTTGCCTGATTTCCTGCAACCTCTCCATTGTTTCTGGTTCTGGCTCATTACTCTCATCTTGTTCATCATCCATGTCATCAGAATCAGTATTGTCATCACTCTCATGTACAGTGCTTTGTTCAATATCTGAAAAAAAATTGGATCATGTTGAGTACATCCCAGCATATGTTTTGTTCCCAAATATCTACCCAGGGTGTTTTAACTACGTATAAATACAGGACTTGTACATGCAAGGATCAAGAATAAATTACATTTAAATAAACTTCATGTACTAGTACATGTATTTTGAAGACTCCCTAAAGGTCCCTATATTTTATATTTACCTCTCCTTTGAGAAACAAGACCTGACAGAGCTATACACAACACTCCACAAGTCCAACCCCCCAAAAAAATCCCACAAAAATTGTCAAAAACTCATTTCTGGTCGAATCAGGGAAATAATTGTATCAATCACATGACATCAAATTTATAGCATCTTTTACATTTTAGAGCTTTCCTTATATTGTAAAGTGGAAATGCAATTAACAAGTTAGTATACAATACACAGTATGTGAAACATGAACTATACCTTCAATGGTGATATCGTTGAGAGACTTCCCACTATACTTTCCAATGGTCCCGTTGTCAAATGACCATAGAAGCTTTCCCATTTTTGCTACTTGCAAAGTGTCTTCAGGCAATCTATAGAATGATCGATGCACTGTAATATCATGGCCCATATAGTTTGCCATTACTTCCAGGTCATTTTGCTCTAAATTCAAAATCTGTGCGACAGTTGCTACATGTTTTCTTAGTTTTGTGCTTGTAATGTTATCTGGAGCTGATAGGTGAAGCTCTTCACTATTTGCAAACTTCCTCATTACATCCGAACTCCTAATTGGACATACAGAACTGAAATTCGGCCTAGGAAACAGATATGGGTTTTCTTTGCACACCCCTGCCTCCTCCCTCCATTTCAGCAGCAAATCAACACTTTTTTGTATTGCAGGAGTAAGTAAAACCGGAACAGTCCTGCCTTTCTTGCCGCGTATTTCCACTCTTCCAAAGGTTGAGCATAGCATTTTTTCCAATGGGCTAAGGGAATCTCCTATTTCTTTCAAGGGTTCGTGTTTTGCCATTTTCTCCAAATAAGCTTTTACAGTGATCCTTTGTGTCTCACCTCCTCTTCGTCTGTTAAACATCACCAACCAGGCTAGGGTAATCTGATTCAGCTGTTCCCAGCATGACTTTGTAAAGGATGCAAGTAAAGACAAACAAAAAGATGAAGTTTTTTCTTGAAAAAAGCCTTGCAGTTTTTTGACATCCTCTGTTAAAGGTAACATTTCCCCTTTGTTGATTTTTTTGGCGGTAAGTGTTTGTAATGCTGAGGATGATATTTCATCTGACCATTCATCATTTACAAGTGTATGGAATTCCTCTGCTTGGCTTCCTTTTTCATGGTCACCAGATGTCAAGGCATAAGATTTCTTTATTTTAGCACATTTATTCAGTAGATGTCCTATTTTCAGAGCTAGAGATGGATTACCATACTGATTGTTTCCTTCAGAGTAATTGCACAGTACTCTTGTGGCTTTGATTGCAAGTGGAAATTTCTGAGGATGCAATACATCACAGAGCTTTTTTATGTCAGGGTCAAGCTTTCTCACAGCAATGAGAAATCTTGCCATCTCCCGCATTTTCTGACTTATATGTGCATATAAATGAGGCAGATGACCATGTTTTTGGTAAAGTTTTTCTCCAATTTTTGTGATTATACTATCATTCCTTGCTGCAATCGTGATTTCATCTGCATTCATCCTGCTAATGACATTTTTTTGAAGGCCACTGCTGACTTCAACTGGACAGGGCAAGAGTAAAGATGCCTCAGACTGGATCCTTCTGTTCCTAGAATTCTCCTTTTTAAAAGGGCATACTTTCCTATGCCTGTAAAGATTTGACTTCAAGAAGAAGGCAAGGCAATCCTCACATGGCAAAAAGTCACTTGTTGATAACTCTGAATTACCATTTCTTGCCCAAGTAACAAAAACGCCTTTACCTTTCTTTAAGACATCAACATTGTGCTTGTAGTCCCCGGCATTTCTGAGCCTCAATAATTCACGCTTCCTTTCGACTGAATTCTTTCGTAATGACAAGATTTTCTGCACTTCAGTTTCACATTTATGTGGACCCAAGTAATGTTTAGAGATATTGGTTGAGCTTTCACCACAGTAACTACAGAAATGCATTTTATCCCATACACGTTTTGTTTTGCTGTTGGTACTCAACTGTACCACTAATCCTGGACTACAAGATCTATTTTCCTTTTTGTTATCTCCACTATTGCCACATTTCCCCATATAATCAACTTTTGATGTACTTTTATACTGTGCTGTGGAGTTGACTATAGGCAAATTAGATGCATTGTTTTGGTTTGGGATAATGTCCGATACGTCTGATGAATCTGAAGAATCAGAAATGTAGGCTTCTGTTGTCTCACCACTCATCATGACAGTGTCTACAATTACAAAGAAAATAGAAACACAAGTTTTATAACAGTGTATCTCACTAGCAAACAGAGGTATAAACACACACAGCAGATATTTTACTGAGAAATTATACAACCCAAAATAATTACCTGTGTTGGTAACTGGTCTTACGTCCAATGCTTCTGTTGTCTCACCACTCATCATGACAGTGTCTACAATTACAAAGAAAATAGAAACACAAGTTTTATAACAGTGTATCTCACTAGCAAACAGAGGTATAAACACACACAGCAGATATTTTACTGAGAAATTATACAACCCAAAATAATTACCTGTGTTGGTAACTGGTCTTACATCCAATGCTTCTGTTGTCTCACCACTCATCATGACAGTGTCTACAATTACAAAGAAAATAGAAACACAAGTTTTATAAAAGTGTGTTTCACTAGCAAACAGAGGTATAAACACACACAGCAGATATTTTACTGAGAAATTATACAACCCAAAATAATTACCTGTGTTGGTAACTGGTCTTACGTCCAATGCTTCTGTTGTCTCACCACTCATCATGACAGTGTCTACAATTACAAAGAAAATAGAAACACAAGTTTTATAACAGTGTATCTCACTAGCAAACAGAGGTATAAACACACACAGCAGATATTTTACTGAGAAATTATACAACCCAAAATAATTACCTGTGTTGGTAACTGGTCTTACGTCCAATGCTTCTGTTGTCTCACCACTCATCATGACAGTGTCTACAATTACAAAGAAAATAGAAACACAAGTTTTATAACAGTGTATCTCACTAGCAAACAGAGGTATAAACACACACAGCAGATATTTTACTGAGAAATTATACAACCCAAAATAATTACCTGTGTTGGTAACTGGTGTTGCGACCAATGCTTCTGTTGTCTCATTACTACTCATCATGACAGTGTCTACAATTACGAAGAAAAGAGAAACACTAGTTTTATAACAGTGTGTTTCACTAGCAAACAGAGGTATAAACACACACAGCAGATATTTTACTGAGAAATTATACAACCCAAAATAATTACCTGTGTTGGTAACTGGTCTTACGTCCAATGCTTCTGTTGTCTCACCACTCATCATGACAGTGTCTACAATTACAAAGAAAATAGAAACACAAGTTTTATAACAGTGTGTATCTCACTAGCAAACAGAGGTATAAACACACACAGCAGATATTTTACTGAGAAATTATACAACCCAAAATAATTACCTGTGTTGGTAACTGGTCTTATGTCCAATGCTTCTGTTGTCTCACCACTCATCATGACAGTGTCTACAATTACAAAGAAAATAGAAACACAAGTTTTATAAAAGTGTGTTTCACTAGCAAACAGAGGTATAAACACACACAGCAGATATTTTACTGAGAAATTATACAACCCAAAATAATTACCTGTGTTGGTAACTGGTCTTACGTCCAATGCTTCTGTTGTCTCACCACTCATCATGACAGTGTCTACAATTACAAAGAAAATAGAAACACAAGTTTTATAACAGTGTGTTTCACTAGCAAACAGAGGTATAAACACACACAGCAGATATTTTACTGAGAAATTATACAACCCAAAATAATTACCTGTGTTGGTAACTGGTCTTACATCCAATGCTTCTGTTGTCTCACCACTCATCATGCCAGTGACTACAATTACAAAGAAAATAGAAACACAAGTTTTATAACAGTGTATCTCACTAGCAAACAGAGGTATAAACACACACAGTAGATATTTTACTGAGAAATTATACAACCCAAAATAATTACCTGTGTTGGTAACTGGTCTTACGTCCAATGCTTCTGTTGTCTCACCACTCATCATGACAGTGTCTACAATTACAAAGAAAATAGAAACACAAGTTTTATAACAGTGTATCTCACTAGCAAACAGAGGTATAAACACACACAGCAGATATTTTACTGAGAAATTATACAACCCAAAATAATTACCTGTGTTGGTAACTGGTCTTACGTCCAATGCTTCTGTTGTCTCACCACTCATCATGACAGTGTCTACAATTACAAAGAAAATAGAAACACAAGTTTTATAACAGTGTATCTCACTAGCAAACAGAGGTATAAACACACACAGCAGATATTTTACTGAGAAATTATACAACCCAAAATAATTACCTGTGTTGGTAACTGGTCTTACGTCCAATGCTTCTGTTGTCTCACCACTCATCATGACAGTGTCTACAATTACAAAGAAAATAGAAACACAAGTTTTATAACAGTGTGTTTCACTAGCAAACAGAGGTATAACACACACACACACAGCAGATATTTTACTGAGAAATTATACAACCCAAAATAATTACCTGTGTTGGTAACTGGTCTGACGTCCAATGCTTCTGTTGTCTCACCACTCATCATGACAGTGTCTACAATTACAAAGAAAATAGAAACACAAGTTTTATAACAGTGTGTTTCACTAGCAAACAGAGGTATAAACACACACAACAGATATTTTACTGAGAAATTATAAAACCAAAATAATTACCTGTGTTGGTAACTGGTCTTACGTCCAATGCTTCTGTTGTCTCACCACTCATCATGACAGTGTCTACAATTACAAAGAAAAGAGAAACACAAGTTTTATAAAAGTGTGTTTCACTAGCAAACAGAGGTATAAACACACACAGCAGATATTTTACTGAGAAATTATACAACCCAAAATAATTACCTGTGTTGGTAGAAATTATACAACCCAAAATAATTACCTGTGTTGGTAACTGGTCTTACGTCCAATGCTTCTGTTGTCTCACCACTCATCATGACAGTGTCTACAATTACAAAGAAAATAGAAACACAAGTTTTATAAAAGTGTGTTTCACTAGCAAACAGAGGTATAAACACACACAGCAGATATTTTACTGAGAAATTATAAAACCCAAAATAATTACCTGTGTTGGTAACTGGTGTTGCGACCAATGCTTCTGTTGTCTCACCACTCATCATGACAGTGTCTACAATTACAAAGAAAATAGAAACACAAGTTTTATAACAGTGTGTTTCACTAGCAAACAGAGGTATAAACACACACAGCAGATATTTTACTGAGAAATTATAAAACCCAAAATAATTACCTGTGTTGGTAACTGGTCTTACGTCCAATGCTTCTGTTGTCTCACCACTCATCATGACAGTGTCTACAATTACAAAGAAAATAGAAACACAAGTTTTATAACAGTGTGTTTCACTAGCAAACAGAGGTATAAACACACACAGC